AATTTTTATCAGTGTACCTGTTTATGTAGCATCGCAGTTGCTAAATTACTCAGTAAATGGTCTAATTTGCTGCTATGTTAAAGAAGTAGAAAAATTTCTACTAAGGAATAAACTGCGCGAGGCAGAGGGCAACTATACATATATCTGCGATAAATCACGAATCAAGGTTGGTGAACAATGCAGTTTGGTAAAACATATCCGATTGGGTATTAAACGTGAAGTCGAGTCAATACGTTCGTATCGAGCGGAGGCGGAGAGTCGTCATGAGTGTCATGACTGTGTGGCCAGTCATGTAGCTGAATTCTCTCGAATCGATTTGTGAATCGGTACCGCTAATACGGTATATGACAGTTGGAGAATAGTGACAGCGCGCGTAGGCAACGTCACCTATCGCGTTCGTTATGAAAATGACATCGACATTAGCTCCCGAAGTCAACGGCGATGGCAGGATCCGCCGATTGAATCAGCATATCGCTGCCTTCGTAAGTAAGTTCGGAAACACGTTTCTTCGCTATTACTCCGGCTATTATATAATTGTAAGCAACGTAAACGTTTTCCTCGGATTTGGAATAATTAGTAATAGTCGTATCCTAAATGTTTATTACACCTTATTTTCCGAATGTTTCGCTATGACATCAAATTATACAACCTCTCTTGTCGTTGCGCAGTGTTGTATATTCAACAAGTACTCACAAGTTTTTCGCTGTCCATCATTTACGATGTGGAATACAATTTTAAATTGTATATACAAAAAGTGCATACACTTTTTGTTAAAAATTTTGCCACCAAGATGCCTTGAATATTAAAACTGTCCTTGGTAACAGTTTCATTTGACAGTACAGTAATGATTTTCTTAAGAAACATCAAATGTCGCTTGCGAGACTTGTAGAAATGTAATCTGAACGATCATTAGGTAGTATTGTTACGATACATGTACACGCTGAAAAAAAGTCTGATAGATTCACCCAGTCGTCTGTTAGAAAATGGACGAATCAGAATTCCTTTAAGATTTACCAGAATTCCTTTAGGATTTACCAGAATTCCTTTAGGATTTACCAGAATTCCTTTAGGATTAACCAGAATTCCTTTAGGATTTACCAGAATTCCTTTAGGATTTACCAGAATTCTTTTAGGATTTACCAGAATTCCTTTAGGATTTACCATGAAATGTATTTCATAACCAGAAGTTTGCTAGACTTCACTACACATCTGGTAAATCCTAAAGGAATTCTGATTCTTCCATTTTCTAACAGACGACTGATTGAATCTATTAGATTTTTTTTTCAGTGTAGGAAAGAATAATCTTAAATTGAATGTACAAGAAGTGCGTACACTTTTTGTTAAAAATTTCGCCACCAAGATGCCTTGAATATTAAAACTGTCCTTGGTAACAGTTCCATTTGACAGTGCAGTAATGATTTTCTTAAGAAATACCTTAATATCGCGCTGCGAGACGTGTAGAAATAATAATCTGAACGATCGTTAGGTAGTACTGTTACGATATATGTACAGGAAAGAACAGCATAATAAAACGTACAACATATATTCGCTTACTTTAATATATCTGGATGGATTTGCGGATTTTAATCTCCATATATTTCTTTCAAGTGTACGCGCGATAAAATGGGGGATTTTTTGTTTGGAAATTTAGCATCTCTCGGCGGTTTCGCTCTCGGTGTCACGCTCGGATGGAACTCGAGCGTCGGGGAGATCCTTCGGAACATCTTGAACGCTAGTAGCACCGAGATCGGCCTTGTCGGTGGTATTTTGAATGCCGGTGCTTGTGTCGGCGTAATGTTTATGCCTCTTTTCATGAAGTATCTCGGCCGTGTCACACTCATGTCCTTGACTGTACCAGGATTCGTCGTCGGATGGACGTTCGTTTGCTGTGCCGGCCAAAAAGTATGCCGTAACGTCGGGTCTCGCCCCAAAATATTATCTGCTTATAACATACATGCACAACAGATTGAACAAATTAACGCGACGTGCAAATTATAGCTGCCGCTAAAGCAGAGTCGACGCGCAGCGTTCGACGTTATCTCGCCACGAGATCGTTAAACCTCATTTCAACATTAGGGAAAAAAATCAAATTATCTTGTTCACGGTTTACGACAGCGTTGTTTAAATGTTGTAACGTTTTATTGGATTTTTTGGAATATATCGATGTGTGTCGAGCGGTGAAAATGGCGCACAATGTACTGAAACACGTAAACATTTTCACAGATTTCGCTCCTCATAATTGGTCGATTTATATGTGGCATGAGCGGTGGAGCGTTCTGCATTCTGACGCCACTTTACGTCGCGGAAATCGCAGACCAGAATTCGCGGGGGCGACTTCTAATGTACTTTCATCTTTTAATCAACTGCGGAATTATGTATGCCTTTGTAACTGCGCACGTATTAAACGAACACGATGCTACATGGAGGTAACTTGTAATATTAAATACACGCGGCAGTTCTGACGAAAATTATGAATTTAGTTATAGCGGTTGCACACGAAGAGATTATTATTTCACTATCTTTGTCTGCATCTTTTTCTTCGTCCTTTACATGCTTTTTTTTCTTCTATCGCTCATGATATTCAACCTTTAATTGTAATAATATTGTAATTGTATTTCGTGCCAACAATAGAACTCGACAAACGATAGAACTTTTTTAAAATATTAATGGCACGATAATGATGTGACTCCAATTGTTCAAACGACCAATGATAAATTCTTGCTTAACGTAAAAACTGTATTGGCCATCATGTTAAATGTAATGTATCGCGATGAATCTATATAAGATTGATTTAAAAGTATCGATATGTTTTGTTATTCCGACTAATAATTGAGGGTAAATCTCTTTATCTTCGTCAAATACCAGTCATATTTATCTATCAAGATAGATCGGCATATTTTCGACTCACGTCTGTATGCCATTAAAAAGAAATTATATCGAGCGCAAAATTTAATCGAATCAGAACTGAGTGTGAATCTCTGGCAAGTTTACGTGACCGTCAATAATGTAGAGGATAATTAGGTATAATTTCACCTGTGCCGTGACATGCCTTGCGGTTGCTCTGGTAAATCTGTTGCCTGAAAGTCCTTTCTATCATCTTATGAAGAATAACGAAATAAAGGCGAAGAATTCTCTAAAATGGTACCGTGGTAACATTTGTCAAGACGTTGAAATGGAGGAACTGAAATATCTCGTGAATCATTCGGGAAAGGTAAAACGCTTAATTTTTCCTTCGCAGATATTAGCAGGAGGAACATAATTCACATATATACGTATATGATTAAAAATTGCTACAATATTATCTACAAAGCTACCTAATGCTATCTGGGATTATACGTAAAACGTTAGATTTGTTGTTATAAAATTCTCTCTATTACTAAGATTATTGCGTTAAAACAAAACGCACACGTGTATAAAGGATGTACGTAAATGATTAAGTAGATTGCAGAAATTGTGTGGCATTTAAGCAAAATTAATACACAAACTTAATCGCCTTCAAGGCACTTTTACATGTATAAACCTATGTGAAAACAAAACTATACATATTTAACTCAATCTATCAAAGCTTTGTATCTTATATCAAAATGTATAGAATTAATATTATGTATTTCGCCTTGTGTGTATGTGTTGTGTAATACTAACGTAAAATAATTTACAAGAGAAGTTTTGCAAATATACAATATGAGTCTAAAAAACTTACTATTATCGCATCATCTTAAAATAAAATGGTTACTTTTTCTTAATTAATTATGCTTATACATGTGATAAACAAAGCCCTCTAAATTAAAATTATATTGCAGTTCACTGTACAAATAAAAAATTAAATGCCCTTTGCTCTAGATCAGAATTAATTTAATTATCTTGAAAATAAAAGACACACGACAAGAAATTATATGCTTCTTCTTGTGAAAAGTATTTTAGAATTTGACAAAGTTATATTGTTCTCTGTGCCGTGTCGTGTGACAGATTCTAAGATGTTCTCTTTACAGGTTACAATAAACGTTCTGAAAAACCGACGCGTTGCAAGTTCCTTCTTTGCATGCCTCTTCGCGTTTCTGACCCAACAATTAAGCGGAGTTAACATTATGATTTTTTACGCATTGACGCTCTTCAACGTTGGCGGATCGGGCGACCTTACCGCAAGCGAACAGACCGTCCTCATTGGTGGGGTGCAAATACTGTCTTGTTTCTTAGCTATGGGTCTGACGGACGTAATCGGACGTCGAAAGCTACTAATTGCATCCTCGATACTTATGGGATTGTTCCTGATATTGTTAGGTAAACAACTTTTTACTATGCCACGGAGAAAAATAATTTGCTGACACAGCAGATTTTATGCTGTTGTAGCAAAATCTATTCGTTACTATTATATATGGATAGCAAGAAGATTTGTTACGAATACTAATCGCAATTTGCTGGAATAATTTGCTGGATTAACAAATTATTTCGTTGTGACAGCAAATGTATTTGCTAAGAATATATTATTTTGCGTCAGTAGCAAATTAACGTGATTTTAATTACAAATACACTCAGCGAATTTTGTTCTATTCTCGCAACAAGATAGATTTTGCTATAATGACGAATAATTCGTAAAATTAGTTCTGTCAACTAAATTTTATTGCTATTACTACGAATAGGTATGCAGTAGCAACGGCGATTTTGCTATCACAGCAAAATTATTTTTTTCCGTGTGGCGGTGCTGTCTATCGGGGCGGATAATACGTGCGTGTATACATAGTTTTCTTCAGATTGGGAACACAATGCTGTACGAATATAAATGCTCGAAGTAAACAAGCGTTGTGAGAGCGTCGAATTTTGGTGTAGTCGGTGAAATTATACGAAAAATTGTTTTACACGCGCGTGTGTAAAAGTAAATTATCAAATATTTAACAGCAAAAGTACTCTCTAAAAATCGATCAGTGGATTATCACTGGAAACAGTGAATATTCACTGATTCGCAGTTACAAGTATAGCACCGAATTATTTCGTGCTTTACTTCTAACTGTTTTACATATGTAAAAACCAGGTGACTTTTACATAGGTATGTGACGAGATTAGCGTTAAGTGTAAATCAAGGTCCGCGAATTTGCATTTGCAGGATGGTTTTACGAACTTAGAGATCAAGATCCGGAGTACGACGATATCTACTTTTGGATGCCGCCGACTTGGACGATCCTCTTTTTTGCCGCTTTCAACGCCGGCGTCGGGCCGATCTCGTGGGCGCTGTTGGGCGATGCTTTTCCCATGCAAATCAGAGAGACTGCCGTTGCATGTGTGACCGCTTTCAATTGGCTGCTATCTCTGATAGCGACGATGACCTTCGGGGAGATGTTGGATACCCTCGGTGTCCCGAAGACTATGTGGCTCTTTGCTAGCTTTTGCTGGATAGCTGGAGCCCTTTGCGCCATACTTTTGAAAGACACTCGCGGCCACAGCTTGGTTAAAATACAAAACAGCTTTGGTATCGAAGATGAGCAAGTAGAAATGAACGGTATAGAACAAACCTGAGACATCGGATGATCGCAACGCTGCAAATATCTTGATCGATTACGAATTGACTTGCTGGAAGATGAGCATTTCTCGATACACATCTCGGTAACTTTGCTGTTTTGTCACGAGCACGGGACATAATTTGCGGCACATTCCACCGTGAGGAGAATTAAACGTGTCTGAAAAAATTATGCGCTCGTGAATCGTGCGAAATAATTGCTCGTCCTGTTCCACGGCCCAAGATATAATTTCTAATCGCTAATCATGTTATCACAAACTGACTGACAAATGATTAAAAAAAAACGGTTCTGTTGCAGTTGCCAATGGGTAGAGGATAACTTGCAAAAAAGATTATGTTTTAAATCAATATGTCTCGATCTGTGTACGCATGTGTGTGCGTACATACTCGCAATAAATACGTCAATCTTATCATTAGTCATCAAACGAAAATACAATGATCCAGCGAGAAAATGTATTATCTCTTCTCTGCAATTGCGAAATATTGAATGCGGTATTTATGTTAGTTGGCGGTCCGCCAAAAAGTGGGTGTTCGCTGTATTTTATTTTCTACTAAAATATCGTTGTACCTAAATAACAGACGTATCCGGCAAATGTTTCCTTGTTCAGTTTTTTTTTTCGACAAAAATAACACGGCTGCGAAAGTCGTGACAGAAGTAAAGGCTATATTTGAGGACCATTGATTTTTCTTTTTTTTATGTCTTCAATAGCACCGAATGTGTATAATCTACATATATCATTATTTGCAGCGAATATCAATCGATTATTTGTTTCAAAATACATAATTTATATTCTTACAGTGTGACCGATTGAAAATTAACTGTGGACGAAACGTAAATTGCACCGGAACAAGTTGATTGACCCCTGTAGAGATTTTCTGTAGAGAGAGGGGAGAGAAATATTGGTTACTGCTGCTATATCTCAATAAATTCTAATTCTATTATCGATTGTTTCGTTTATGAACCGAAAAGACTAATAAGCGGTGCACTAATTAATTTGAGCAATGTAATTACATAATTGTGCACATTTTCGAAAATAACGAATACACTATTGACAGATGTAATTCGTGGCATGATTGTCGTATGTGATTGGGGTTAGAGACACTCTACAGTGTTTCTAATTGGGGTTCTTCCCTTTGTGTTCTCTTGTAAAAGTATTGTTATTATAAAAGTATCTTTCCGCAATAATTTGTCCGTAGAAATAAAAGTATGATATTATAGATTAGATGCTTATGTTTGTTTTGATAAACTAACTTTTTAATTGCATTTTACTAATTATTAAATAAAAACAATTCAAAATAAACGTCAAAATGTCACAATATAATATAATATTTATGGTCGATTTGTCTTTTGTTCTAGCTCGAACTTGTGCTTTTATTAAATTATTATTTATAATATGGTATGTATATTCTTGCCTGTATAATATAAAACAAATTAATTTTTTATGCTATCTAATTAAAACCGAAGGTAGAAATCTATTAATTTACTTTAAACTCTAAGATACCTTTTAAAAGACTAATTCCGGATAGAATCTAATTTTTAAATAAAAAATATACATGTAGCATATCATTCGTTATTATTATAAAATCGGAGGCAGTTAATTGAAGGCGATTCAAGAGGGATGTAAGTACAAAAATTTCATTTTGAGAAGAATAATTTTTTAACAGTAACTGTTGAATTATTAAAATAAAAAGTTGTGCTATAAATGTTTGTTTTGACTTTTTCCGTGTAACTTTTATCAAAACTGTAATCATTAAAAATATTTACTTCAACTTGTCGCCAAAGGTGTAAGAAAAGCAAATATTTTTATTATTTAATGATAATTACATTTTTATTCTATGACAACTGTAGTTTTAGAGGAAAACTGGCAACGTTTTATTATTTACGTCTCTACGAAATAAGAATTTAAAGCAAGAAATCAATTACAATGTATAATAAATGTTATCTAAATGTTCAGATTAGAGTCGTCATTGGTACTTATACGAACTTGTTCATGGACTTCTTCAGTCAAAACTGCAGTTCTTGCAAAACTGGTGGTTTCCTCGCGGAAATATACAGCAAGAGTTTTCTTATCTCATATCCCCCTGAGCTTCTCTTTTGATAATTTTGTTTCCGTGGCGAGCGTCTTAAATGCCTCTTTCGTTGCCCATAAGCCCCACAAGATTATAAATTTACTTGTCGTTTTTTTGCAATAGAAAAAAATAGGGATCTAAGTCGACTTACATTTCCCTTGAATCGTGGTCCTCAATTACGGCACTTGCATACTTTTAAAGCAACAACTTTGTAGGAAGCTATTGTATGCACCTGTAGTATATTCGTCGTGCAATTATGGAATATTCGTATGCACACATATGTAGTTACATAAACGCGTAAAATTAAATTGCCGTGCAATCCATATGTTATCCTTGAGAGCGAGACTTGTAATTAGTTGCGAAACCTAAATTAAATTTGCTCCGGAAATTAATTCAATCAACATGGAGTGCTATAAGTTCGAAAGTTTGGAAATGTATCGTTTAACTATTACCACGAAATTCGGTTCTCTCGATTCGCAAACCGCATTTCCGCCATTTCGAGCCTGTCGCTATATGAAACTTTGTGATACTAACCAATCTAAATCAGAGCCAATGTAAACACAAATGTATGACACTTGGCCCATTGGTCGATACGCAGGTTAGTCTCGTTAAATCAAGTTTCACAATTCGACTTTCGATTAAGTAGGTATACTGGATATTACACTTTATGTACATAGATTTCTCGATTATTTGCACGTACGCGCCGACGTGTGTATATTATTATAAAAATTTGTTTCTTACAATTAGTATCAAGTATTCGCGTTCGCATAAAATATTTTATAGAAGCTCACAATTCTATGTTGCGTTATATATAATATATAATATAAAAAGATTTAATCTTATAGTGAAATACAAAGAACCTTCTCCAATCTATCAACTTTGAGAAAATGACATCTGATTAATCGGTTAATAGTTTGTAGACGCGCAGCTAAAATTGTAAAAACAAACGCCGCTTAATTTAATTATAATTTTGTGTAAATTGAAGAAAGCCTGACGATATGTACACGATATAATACGCATATTGATTTTAAATAGACACAAGTTTTTCCGCCCTAGATAATTTGCATTTTGCGCACTAATCTATTCCATTGCGTGATAATTTATCAACAAATAATCTATTTAAAGTTGTTGGTAATAGCAAGTAATACTTTGTTGTTTATAAGAATGTAGTCGCATGTGGCTAAATTGGAAAAGTTATTCAGGTTACTTCGGAAACTCGTTAGAAACTACGTTCCCCGTGCCGAGGAATTGTTCAGAATTATGCTATAAAGTACATTGTTCTTGAAATGCATTTATGTAGATAATAGTTGACGTATACGTAGCTCGTATGCGCGAATATTTGTGCTTGTTAACATAGTTTTAATCATATTATGATTACTGCTCGATAAAATGGGGCAACAGCAAACGCTGCAACTTTCCTACCTTCGATTATAAATGCTCTTTGTTGTGCTAAACATTTATTTGAAGAGTTTCGCGCAAGTACGAGTACGCTCGTACGATTAGGTATTGCAATCAATCAAGCAGTATTAATATTCATCCATTATTTATCCACACCAAACAACAACCTTGTAGCTATAATATAATGTAACTCTCGCTGAGCTGCGTTATGACAGGGAGATAAATAAAATCAAAAGGTAGGTACATTAGTGTGTCTACACACTCGTATGTTATACAATCATAATTGTAAAATTAATAGACCACGGTATCGGCAGCCTCGAAATTTTTATAATTTTAAGGTCCATAATAAGATTTATGGCTCGCAATCAACTTGAAGTAATCTCTGGCGCTTGTGTGTTGAACAATTGACTGCGACGGAATGGATACCTAAATATAATTTATCACTTTGTTTACAACTTTTGTTTTATGTCAGATTGTTAAGAACAACGGCTTACTTAAACAATTTTCCGAATTTTTTATTTATTCTGAAAGATCCTTCGACGATGAAGATTCTTTGATGTATTTGATAATAAAAAAAAAAGACAGTTTTTACGTACGTTTGTACTCCGACAGGACAACTCTTATATCTTTATATTTATTCCGTTTGAACGTTCAACTCAAATTTTTTATTTAATCCGATTTTTTATATTATATAATCCAAATTGGATTGCACGCACGCACGCGTTTTATTGATAAATAAATAAAAATAATTAATACAACTTATTAATTATTTTTCATGTAACAGAGACATCATAAATTGATAATGACATATGGTGGACAGTGGCGATCGTGTGCGCGGAGACTTTATAATATTAAACATTTCTATTCTCCTGACGTCGACACCACGATTAGCATTGTGCGTGAATTGTTCAGATACGGTAAGAAAGTTAATCAGCGTGCTTTATATTCTGCAGTAAGGCAGCTGACGAATGTATTATTAATGTTTTTATTATATCAAATCGAGAGAAATGAAAAACGTACGAACATGTCCTTCACGATTAAAAGGTACTTATTATTGCAAAACAAAAGAAACAGCAATTGTGCAATCGATATTTTAATATTTATATTAAAAAAATTGTGATGATGATTATTGCAAACACCTATATTTGTAAATTTATAAAATTTGATGTGTTCGCATGTCGTTTAACTAGAAATTATTGCAGATTGTAATTTTCCTTTCGAAAAGTATCGGAACATAATATTCTTTAAGATAAATGTACATAATGTCAGATATGAGTGAGCGAATGAATAACATTTTTAATGAACCGCATTAAAGCTAAAAGTTTTCCAGTTTTCAGGAAAAATATAGGAATATAAAGATCAATAATAATAACATAATAATAACAATAATTGTATTCCGGCGATTAGGCAACATTCGGAGAGTAGAACAAGTCCTAACAAATGAGGTATGAAAAGTTTGAATTAATATAAATTATTTATCTTAAACTTTGTATTTTATTTCTTATTCATTCATACGTCCATTATTATTAATATAAATTTTATTTTTACTAAAAATTTTACATGAAGATATAGACTGCAGAATTTATTTTGCCGTCTAATGCGCGGCTTAAATTTCGTAGTTATCTTTACAGCTTTATCTCGTTTTCGACAGTACAATTATGCAATTTGTGGCAAGTCCAAAACATGTGCCAGATGTTTCAATCATTTTGTATTAGCGCAATATGTGTTAACGTTGCTTTTCATGCTGTCTCGCGCGTCATACGACATACGTGAAAATTGTTACGCAAGGGACACACAAATGTTCTAACAGACACATGCGACGTTAATTAATAGGCCGCAAATATGGAGGGATTCTGCTTTTGTTTTGCGACTTAAAAAGAAGGGTTCAAGTATTACATTCATTTAACTATGAAAGTAACGGTACTAACATATGCATGCGATACACACACACACATGCATGAAATGTCCGGCGGACACAGTTAGTCGTAGGCCGCAGTCATTAAAAGTTGTCATTTATCTTTCCTTATTAGTTTTATTAGTTGTTACGTGATGCGTCAGTTTTTTTACATTTGCACACTAATTTTTGTCCATGTACTTTTATTTCCATATTTTACAATGCACATTATTTTCTGTAACAATAAGTGGATAACTAATCGGGCAAGTGATATAATTACGTTACATTCATCTATTATTCTTTTCAATTTCATAGCATTATTATTTTTTTACAAAGTGAAACTAATTATACCCGATTATGATTTGCTCTTGAAACAAATGAAAGTGGTTAATAAAACTAAAATCGATTCTTTTCCATTGAAATTTTCGTCACACACATGAACTTCAGCTGCGTTCAGCAGTAAAAATCTGAGGCATTCGAGTGCTCTTTTGCGTTCGAGTGAGCGAGAGAGGCGAACGAGGTAGAAAGTAAGAAAGTACACTTTGCCGCCTTGAATTTGTAATGCCGAACGCAACACGTTTGTGCGATATTTATATCAATATATAAGTAATTCCATATTAAGATCTATATCATGTTAAATTTAATTTGTTACATTTAACAGAATTGCCGAGGTTCAACAATTTTTTATTACACAACTAATTAATTTCCACCTAAATTTATGCGCTAAAGTATAGTATTGGTTAGTAAGTAGGATGAATTGAGAGTAGAACGTATGTGAGAGGAGACGTCTTGTTCCAAAAGAGATGTATGTAGATATCCATAAGTAAGAAAAAAGAATATACAGCTATTCTTAATGTAGATTAAGCAACTACAATGTATTTAATATATCTATGCTCTTGATAAATATATTCTATGTCATAAATATACAAGTAAAAATTATAAAGAACTGACTCTTTCCATTGACAATCACGTCTTTTGCTTTACACTAGTATTGAATGTATTTTAAACATTGTACAATGTTCAAGCTTCAAGTTGACGCAAAAGTCGCCGTTATTATTTGCGTCCTTAAGTACGTAGCATGTTTTATCGTACAAAGTACATTTAAAATATCCTTGTTACTTTTAATGCGTCCTTCAAAGAGGTACCTACGTATATCTCTTGACACTTTAACGGTTGACAAAAACGTTTTATTATTATAATATTGCGTAGTTTTCCAAGGTTTACAGAATGTATTGACGTATCAACGATATAACTCTAATCGCTAATTTCCTTTGTATCTCTTCAACCTTACTTTCTTTTTCTTGTTGTATATTAAGTTACGTCAATAACATTACTTAAAATCACAAAAATATGTTCTTGAAAGAAACTTTGCAAACCATAACATAGTCTCGAAGCAGTTTTTCTTTGAGATTAATTTCTTATTTTTATTTAATTTCTTATTCCTACAAGAGAAAATGGAGATATTTAAAGATTGACATACGAAAGAAAATTCAGAATAATATATATAATACTTTATCTTATTTCGTCCACAAATTCTTAAACATTTATATCGTTTATTTCTTTTCGTTTTATTTTATGAGATCTTATATATTAATAATATATTATAAAAAAAGATAACGTAGAAGCTACGATTTTTCTTATCGTTTAAAGCTTTCAAGAATATAAGTGAATAATAAAGTAATATTTTTTGTTTAATGTAATTGCTGTACTTAATTTTAATTTAATATTATATATTTTAGAAACATCTCACGAAAAGTTTTTTTAATTGTGTTTTACAATTAAAACATTACGACAAAAAAATTGCTCATTAAATACACGATGCATCAAGGTGACTACCTTGGAATTGATGAGCAAATCCATAGGTTTGAGTAAAGTTTAAATGTGAATTTTGCTTTGGAATTTTGATGAGATTCAAACGACTCTAAACTCGAGAAAAGCCCATTTTAGATACCCACGTATAGATTGTCAAATATCATATTATACGTACCTAATGTGCCTATAAAGAAGTTATTCATTAAATTTAAAGCTCAAGTTACACGTTGCTATTGGAAAGATTAGATACAAATTTCTTTTGTATCTCTTCAATCTTCCTTCTACTTGTTTTACGCTAATATTTTTTTACTATTTGAATACGACTACATTCATCAAATTTCGTCCATTATTCGTGATGTTTGCACGAGGTAAAATATTACCGCCACAATTATTACCTCGGCGCTTATTACGTATGCGGAAAGACGGGACCGATAGGTATTTACGCATTTTTGAGGCGATATAGAAATGAAACGTCGACGCGCGTTATCATAAATGTGCGCAAAATGATAGGACAGTCGACCTTGTCGCATGGAACAATTGTCTCTTTGTGTATTTTGTCAGTAAAACACTCGACACGATATACTTTATACGATGCAAGCCACTGGTCTGATCATTTACAAAAGTTACTTGTTGCGATACACTAGCGTGTTCTGACGATGGAGTTTTGTTGCAAGTTCTACGGAGGCATAGGACGTACGTGAAAGTTAAAATTAGCACCAATTGAATCGGCTGTGAACCAGTTCAAGTTTCTATCATTTCTACACAATAATATTTTTTAAGTCTTAACTTTAACAAAGTAACGCATTAAACGTTGTGAGTTTTATTTGTTACATTAGTTACTTGGAGCATTTTCTTTATTACATGTAACGTGTTCCGCTTTTATGCCGCATGTGCAAGATAAAAAGTTATTATTCTTTGTAATTTAGCTCTAATATCAATCTACTACAATTTGATCAAATTTAAATATCTTACAAATATTTATAATATAATATACGTTATAAAATTTTTGCTTTAGGCAGGATATTTCTATTGTATGAATTAGAGAATGAGAATTTGTAGATGTATCTAACACCTTTTAATCAATTTTGTATTGGAAATTTTCTTTTCTACATTATATTTTTCTTTTCAATATTAGACATATAATTTATTTAATCAAGTTGTGTACACAAAAATTCTATTAAAAGAACGTCTTTAGAATTTCTGTAAGAGAGATTTAATAAAAACTAAGACGTTCGATACAGAAATTTCCGTTTTTATGTAACATAAGATTTCTTGTCTTTGATTAATTTTTGTTATTTAAATAAAATGGATTTCCTTTACCGTCAATATTCTTGCTACGTAAAAATAATTTTTTAAATTTTGTGGTAAAACAAAACCTCCCGCTCTTTCTCTGTTACCAAAGTACGTGCTTATGATTTTGGCGCTCATTAATTTAACAACACCTGTCACAAAGAAAATGCGAAATATTTGATTTAGTCTTTTTACTGTTTTCTATGTGAGCCCTTTAATGAAATACTTGACATAAATGCGTGAGCTGCTTTTAACGCACATATCTCATCAAGTTCATCATTACCTTTAACCCATTTCAAAGATACCCGTCTTTGCTCTCACTGCAAGCTACAACCGCAAAAGATAAGAGATATTATCAGTTTTGAGTTTACTTAATCTTTGCATCGGACTAAAAGCAGACGCATCTGTCACACAGCGAGTGTGATTATTTGTCAGAACGGTAATTTATCTTCTAAAGGAGCTAAGTCTAGAATATTTGGCTGATGTACCATGCAAGCAGGTATTAAAACTTTTATTATTACAGATACAAAGGAGTATACCTTTGTATGTCTCAAAATAATTTTGTGCAATCATTTATACGAAAGTGAAATTTAGATAGACAGTATGTACAATTGATAACGAACCAAGAAGTTCGTCATTGTTAGTAATAATTCGATAAATGAAAACAATTGAAAATAAGCCGTCGAAAAGGCGTTTGTGTATTAATTTTATTAAATTTAAATATCGATATCAAGCAGATTATAAAATGTTTGTTTGCATAAATTTACATTACATAATGTATCATTTCAAATACACGTATGTCAAGCATTTAGTTAAATGTGCGTATAAAATAGAAGCTAGTAACCATACTTATTGTTAGTATTAAAACTTTACTTTTAACGCTTCCATATTATTCACTTATTTTACAATTTAAAAAAAACAGACGTAATACAGCTGAACAAATTATAACAAAGTAACCTGTAATTTTTATCAATTTCAATTTATTCGATTCGACGAAATACTTGATAAACAAGTGCTTGTTCATCGAAAAAATTGGATTGTTATTTTGACTAAAATGTTTAAGCCTAAATTCCAATCTATATTGAACAAACTTACACATTATACAATATATACCTGTATATATATCCTAGGTCAGGTAGTTTTATTCGGTTTATTGCTGTCACTCTTCGTGACAAATGGAGGTGCTTGGACATGCAATTATTTTCAAGAGATGAAAGATGAACAAACATATTATGTGTATAATATGGAGTATCCCAATTACTACAAAGACGAAAATCAATGCACTTGGAATGCAACTAGTCCTTACAATATCCAAATAAAGTGTAATATTGAAATGGTGAGTTTGTATTGAATATGTATTTTGTTCAAAGTTTATGCATTATAGACATACCTTTAATAGTTTTTAAGTTTAATGTAACGATTTTACTCAAATCCAGAATTTATTTTAATCATTACCAGAATTGTTAGAAACAGGACTGAGGGAAGGAATAATTTTATAAATTTTTTTTTTTTATACAGACTCAGACTAGTGGCTGTGATCTAGAGCAACTTTCCTTTAAATTTGATAACAAAGAACTAGTTCGCTATTGCGGTAGAGGTGAATTCGTTCTCGAGGGAAGAAATCCAACTGTAAGATTTGTGTCGAAACGTTTTTCGTCGGGTAAATTTTTATGCAATATGACGACTTTGCATAAAAATAATGACTGCAAATGTGGTTGGCGCAAAACAGTGAGTTTAAATTAATTTTGTGACATGTTACATATTTAATTGCTTATTTATCTCTACTTAATAATTTAGCTTTAATTAATTATACAACAATTTATTAAGAATATCGCTCGATTAAGTATTGAAAATTAAGTGTCCGCCATTATTTGCATCGCATACTTGTTAGACCAGAATAGTAGGCGGTGAAGAAACTGGGGTAAATGAATTTCCTATGATGTGTGGAATCGTTGATGCTAAGGATGGAACGTTATATTGCGGTTGTACCATAATATCTCCAGAATATGTAATAACAGCGGCTCATTGCGTAGACCAAAGAGATATAAGTATGACTGGTGTAGTCGTTGGTGAACATGATACAAGCACAAGTAATTGTTAAAATTTCTTTACATATGTATGTAATTAATATTTAATTAAAGTTTAAGGATATTAAGCAAATAAAATTTGTTACAATTGCAATAATATTAAATTAAATCGCATAGTTACTCTCTGTAATACAAATTTATTTAAAGGCAATTTTATTTCAAGTTGCGATTTATTGATATAAAACTTTTGCGACAGTATATCATGCGTACAGTAATGGAAAAATTTATAAGAATTTTATAAGAATTGACAAACGCATTAGCGTGAAATATCGTTTGTATGTAAAAGAAACACAATATTTCTTAATATAAGAGATTTTGGTTATATGTATACAAATCTTATATAATATATTGGATTTATACGAAACAAAACTTGTAATATATGTACATAGATGAAGAAACTAAGGCAACCAAAGTGTTCCGCCTGGATGAATGCAAGATACATTCTTCGTATAACGGACGCGATAACGATGTAGCTCTTTGTAAGATTCGTGGTACTATCACTTACTCTCAGGAAGTTGGTCCGGTCTGCTTACCATTTCAACATAGTACAGATTCGTTCGCTGGTCGTACCGTCACTGCGGCAGGTAATATTTTTGGAGTAATTTCCACGTACTTTTCGATAACATTATTTGTTCTAATCCTATTCAATCATTAGGCTGGGGTTTAATAGGGTTTGCCGAAGCTAAAGCAGAAAAGCTTCGAAAAGTGGATTTAAATGTAATAAGTCTTGCACAATGCAGCAAATCTTTTTCTTACGTAAACGACAAAAATATGTGCACGTATACTCGGGGAAAAGACACTTGTCAGGTAGGAAGACTTCGTTCTTTTTAATGCTGTGGCAAATTTGTGCAAAATATATTATTCAAGAATCTGAGACAAACTATCCCCCCCCCCAAGTTAAATTCTACTTTTCTCTTTGCGTGTTATAGATGGATAGCGGTGGACCTCTTTTATGGTCGAATCCTTCTACGGGCAACCTTGTATTGGCTGGTATTACAGCTGCCGGTGAGGGCTGTGCTTCGGACACACCTGCTGTCGCGATGCGTACAGGAGCTTTTATCGATTGGATAGTAGCCAATACACCTGGTAAGAATCGGCAGGAAGGCGAGAAGTATGAAAATTTTATAGTTGTAAGAGAGGATTGGCGTACATTTATCATTTTTTCTTTTTCACTATAGGTGCGAAATATTGTCAAATTGAATGAGCGGTATATAATTAAAAAGAAGAATTGCGTTCTACAAGAGTCTGGACTTCTGCTGGTACTTTATTTATCGTTACTTTTGCAAAATATTGAATTATATTTGCAAATATATATATATATATATATAACAATATATGCATACAAAAAACGCGTGCGCCTCTCTCTCTCTCCCCTCCCTCCCTCTCCCTCTCTCTCTCTCTCTCTTTCTCGGCAAATGTGTATTTACTGTGCACGTCACATTTTAATTATACATTGACAATATTATATCTTAACAACTTTAGAATGTGAATCGCCAGTGAATGTTCAACGGTAGAGAGAATTGTTAGACGACTTATATTATATCTGCTTTCAAGCAGAAATTGGAGCGTAATTTGCTGCTTAATTATACTTGTCGTCTCTTTACCATTTGAAATTATGTTTCTTATTTGTCGACCTGTACGTTCTTTACGTATCAAATTACGATAAAAAATTTTTGTATTGTAGCGTGAAAGACAATGTGAAAAGCACATGTCACGAGAACACTGCCTTCCCACGTTAAAAAAACCAAACTTAATATAAACTCTTTGCTCCTTGGAGTCAGTTGTGGCACATTTCAATTTCACATTTCAATTTCACATATTAATGCGTTTTATAGCACTCTACTTTCTTTACTTAGTTACTTTATTTAATTATAATAATTTACTTAGTTTAGTTTGCTCTTTGTATCAACGCATAGAGTTACGCTTTATCTCTTTATCGTTTTTCCCATAAATATGTCATAATTTTTAATTTTATAGAAAAAAATAAGAGACAAACACGGTAAATTCATATTTTATTCGGATTAAAACTGCATATCTAATTGTAATATATATCTTGAAATTATTATTTATTCGTCCAAAGTGTTGATTTTGCGCTTTACATCTACTTTGCTATGTAACGAGAGATCACAAAGTAGTACAGAGATAGTTGTATTCATTGTAATCGAGTGTACCGTTCAATTTACAATGCACAGTCGATAAACGTCATAAATTGTGAAATGAAGCGTTAGTTTATGTTTATACCGTTGCGCGTTGCGGAAAATGTATTCGTATTATGCCCAGCGGCAAATTCGTTGCTGCAATTGTTGGAAATTAATTTGACGGAGTAATTGCAAACTGCGGTTGCCCCTTCGTTAAAATAACTTGAAAAACAGTTAATTAAAAAATAATATTATTAGATAATATTGGTTGCATTATCTAAACATTATTAATAAAATCCTATATCAAATTTTATAATATAATAATTGTATTGCGTACACGCTGTTGTACCTGTTATAAAAATACATTACGAAAAATATAGCATTTTCTAGAGTAAATTTCTAATAAAAATATATATTTTTATCTCTTACTTCTCCTTTTTTCTCTTGTAATTTAAAAAATAATTAAAAAAATAGGTTATATTCATGGAGTTGCATTCGTCATGTTGTTTAAAGTTTTGCAAATCATCGAATTTTTATTTAAAATATTACGTTAACATATAAGATTTATATGCAGCTAAGATAGAAAATTGAATACATATATATATATTTGTTCGTTAAAATTTAATGTACTAAATACAAATATGTATATTCAAGGTATCTCGTGCGTGCCCTAAATGAAAAATACGATATACAATATGTAGAGCAGAGTCTCCTAACGTGAGATAGGCTCCTAATATGACCGAGTTTCTACTAAATTAATAGGCATTATCCGTTGGTTCCGCCGTGAATTTATTGCCGTTGTAACGAAATCTCTTTAGTGAAAAATTCATTGTTAGATCGTGCGTGTAATCATTGTGAAAGATTTGTAAAATTGGATGTTGAAAATCCGTTATCATATTACTCGTAGAAGGCTATCTTATAATAGGGAATTCTTTCTTTTATATAATAAAAAGACGAAAATCTTTAATAATAGTTGTAATATATAACACACACTACCATTTAAAATATATATTAAAGTATTCGTTGAAAAACATTATGCAATGTATAATCAAAAGCTAAATTACGACTAAACTCATAAAAATATTTAAGGTAACTCGCAATTTAATTCGCAAAATAAATTTAAACTTTTGTCATTAGTATAATGCGTAGATGTTATTGAACATTATATTTTATTCGCTGAGATATGCATTATATCTACAGTCATATATTATTATCTTAATATACACACGACTATTTTGCATATACTTAACATAAATTTCTCACAATTTCCTTAGAAAAGCCCCATTGATATTACTAATAAAAATTTCTACATCTATTGTACCGACCACTCTTATCGTCGATTATATTTAGATATCTCGTTCAGCTTCTCATTATAATATGTAACCGTTTAGAACTTTGTATACTTGTTCAAGTTTCAGAATACTTGACGTTGAAAATATAAATATATGAATATTATCAATTAGATATAGATATTTGTTAGTTGTAATGGATGTTACAAATTTTTTAAATAAAACATTAAGTAATTATAAGTTATTTAAACAATAACAAAAAGGGCAGAGAGAAATATAACATGTTACGAACCCTTGAAAAATTTTGTTGATAGAAGAGAGAAATTAATGTATAAAATTAACACAAGACAATCAAATACGTTAGTATTCTTCACATCAGTTTTATACATCAATTGCTGAGATTTTTTATATAATAATGTTACAAGTAAAATAATAATGAAAAATTATCTCTCACACACACACACACATACATACATACACACGTACAAACATATTATTTAAATAAATGCTAAAACATTTAAGAATGATTACTTATATTTAAAATACAAAAACAATACTATATAGCACAATGTAACTACATTCAACTAATTATATTAAATTATATGAAAAAAAACTGTAGAACGTTTAGTACAGAATTTAAGCTGCAGTAATACGTGCAGCGTAACATTCATTGTTATCGTATTGTTTGAGACATATGCAATGGCGTTAACATTAGCTCGAAAGCAGCATCTTTCAAATTTGCGCCGCGCAAATTTGCGTCTTGCAGATCGGAGCCAGACAAATCACAGCACTAAAAAATGATAAAAGCTGGATATGTAAGTGTATATAGATATAATAGTAAACCGGATGGAAACTTTTAAGAAACACATAAACAAATAGCTCTTATTCTATAAAGTAATATAAATGAGAAAAGTACCTCTAAATCAGCACCAGCTAAGACAGCCGATCTCAAAATGCAATTCCTAAGAATAGCATTCTTTAATGTAGCCACTCGAAGGTTCACAGCTGCCATGTTACTACCTTCGAGATTAGCACCTTTCAAATTTACACCTTCCATGTTTGCCGGCAGACCACCAGGGTCTTCAAAGTTACACGAATGTAAATTGGCTGCAGCTAGATTTGCACATGACATTTTGACACAAACGAGTTGCGCGCCTTGTAAATTGGCGTGGGATAAATCAGCGCGCTCGAAACAGCACCCCGACAGATTAGCCCCTGCCAGACTACAGTGATGCATAATAGCGTACTGTAATAAAAAAAAACGTAAATACAGCTATGACTTTTCGTTAACGTCACTTTTATCGATTAAAGTCAATAGCGCACAATGCGATTTTCCGAGTACGTACATTTTTATGACTCGTAAATATCTGACTGGGTGTGATGTATTCCTTTCCTCTCATAATGGTATCTTTACACCTTCAATTGTATGGGAGCGTACAATTTATTTATATAAATTTACGCACGTATACATATTTTGCGTTTTATTAGATCGCATATGATTCAACGCGAAAAATCGCATTAAGTTCCATCGGCTTATTTCATCTTATGAATCATGTGCAAAGTAGATGTACCTTGAAATTAATATTCCTAAGATCTAGTTTTGAAAGATCAGCTCTTACAAAATCAACACCCTGGAATCTAAGTTCGGCGTTAGTCGATGTAGACATGATTGCCTTAAGTACATCTTTGCGAGTTAGAGATACGAGACCCTCTTTATGCAATTCTTCTTTTTCCAACATTGTAGTAAGGATTCGAATAGCACCTTCGATACCGTAAAAACAAGCTTCTGCCAAAACTCCTGTATCAAAGTATTACTTTTGTTACGATAAATAGATTTTATTACGATAAATAAACATGATTCGTGAATATATACCAGCTACATTAACATTGGAATCAAGTATCATTTGACTATGCCTCAAGTAGTTTAACAATGGTTCGAAATAAGTAGGACTTCTATCAATCAAATATGCTCCACGGTCATCTTGTCTACTCGGCTGTATCGCATGCTCAATATTTCCACTTTCTGTAAACATTCTACATAAAATGTTATATTATTACTACATTATTTTAATATATTCCTCTGTCTCTCTCTGCCCCTCTCTCTCTCTCTCTCTCTCTCTCTCTCTCTCTCTCATCCTATTTATTTTAATAATCCAGTATAGAGAGTTTCTTTTTCAATAAACCGTCTTTATTTAAAATATTATATAAAATATTGTTAAAATATTATAGACTGTGGATTTTATTTTAATTTAATTATAATTTAAAATTCAATTTTTTAATCTTATAATTGACAGTGCCAATTGCTAAATTTTATATCAAATTCTGAGTAGTAGAAAAGTAAAACTATGAAAACGTTAATATTATTTCTACTGAGAAATTATCTCATCTAAATGTATTAAAATAAAACAAGTATAGAGAGAATAGCTTTTCGTTTTTGTAAACTTTTCTATAAAACATACAATCAAGAATTAAAACGCAATTAATATTTTCTCGGTCCTTTTTCTGATATAAATCAAATTGAAAACTTAAACGCCATATTTTTAGGACCTGGCAAGGTGGTGGCCATTATATTGCTATGTGAATCATATACCGTATTATCCCACCCTGTACTGCACACCGTTACTATCGGACATATAACACAGATTTCCCCTAGGTGGGATCATTGTCGTCAGTGAATTCACGTGTTCTAAAAATCGCAGAGCGATTTTTTCAAAATTTAATTTTAATGCTATACCTAGCATTATAAATTTACCCTTTCCCCTATTGAATTAAAATTCTTATTGCGAAAAATATTACCCCAGCCAGGATTCGAACCTGGGACCTCCCTCAATCCGTGACGGGCGTCTTAGCTAGCTCGACGAATTAAAACGACCTAGGCTGGCAAATCTTTTTATTCAATAAATTACGACATTTCGACCAGTAATACTGGTCCTTTTCAATCTTACACTACTCCTATCAATTGTTACAGCAAAAGATCTACAAAAATATATGATGACAATTAGTAACGGTAAATTAAAGATTGGAAAAAGACAAGAACTCAGATGAACTGACTTACAGGAAACATTTCGTGGTACATAAAAAATATAAATGTATATCCATCAAATTAATAAAGAAATCGATTACATCACTCCACACACCGACAGACAAATGTCTAATCACCCAGAGGAAAACTGCTCAGATTAAGTCGAGTGAGAACGGTAGTTTCGACCGATAAATTGTCAAAACACAAGATACCCGGAGGAGAAAGACAAAAATATTAACAAATTAATTAATTAATTAAGTGACAGAGTTAAGATTGTCCGTATCTTGCTGGAGGTTGACGTGTTATTAAATTTTTTTATGAAAAACATCTCAACAATTTCTCTCTTCCTATAATGCGATCCTTTATGTAGGAATATAGGGTTAGGCCAATCAAAATCGTGGCCGAGACAAGTGCGGTGTTTGCTGACGATAGAATGATTGCATGTTGGTTTTTTGAAATCATTACGATATTCTTCAATTCTCTATAATCTTTTCTATAAAACACACATACACACATACGCACACGTATATATAAAAATTTATCTTAAAAGAGATTGATTAATTTATAAAGCAGGTAATACCTTGCCAACATACTCGTTGGTTCTTTTTTTGTCAAAGTATCCCTAGTTGTGGTAAAGTATTTCCCTCCAATATTGAGTGTAATCCATTCTGAATTCCTACTTGGTTGAGTATGAGAAATTTTATTTGTATATATAAAATTTTCTCCATTTGAAACATACAAAATGTCATCGTCTCTGCGAAGCAAGTTCCTTGTTCAATATTTCAGTAACATACATAAAAAAAATTTCAGCACGATTATAAATAAAGTATTTATAAAAACAATCAACCGAGTATTTTACCTAATGAGTTTGATATCATCAATTTCACCACCTTGCGATGTAAAAAGTCTCTTTGCAGTCATATCAAATTTTCCACTAGCCGCCATCAATAATTCGTCCAATGAATGTGTCACTACAAACACCTACGGTAAATAAAATATGTATTATAAAAAACCATATTGTAGCGAAATATTTCGGGGGCGTAATAGGTTTCCATAAATTTTATCTAATATATTATAATTTTTACAAGTATAACTGTTAAGAAAGATACATTAATTTACATTCGACAATGGAAAATATTACGATGTGATATTAAATGAAAAAACATTTCAGGGGTAATTATCTTTTTATTCAAAAAGTACAAGTGATTGGGATAAAACCACTATGCTTTTCTTTTAACGTAATCTTCCTGTGCTTGTCAACGAAATGGTATCAATTTCTTTATGCACGAAAAAATAAAATGCATCTGTAGTTTGTAGTACAGCTAGGAACTGCTTCTTTTGTTTCATCAAACTCATACATTTATCGTCCGTATTTTTATTTTGTGTCATATACATATAGTTACTTGTTTATCCTAATGATATTCTTTTGTAGCTTTCAGCTGGCTTTATGCTTTCTGATTCTTAAAGTCTTATTATTATTCACTACTCAACTCATTGGTGCACAGAGTTGCACCTCATTATTTCTTGATTGCAAGCAGAATTCTACAAATTGTGCACAGATGTATATTGCAAATTCCAAATTCAATTGATAATATAAATTTCGCTTTCGACCGAACACTTCGAATAAAAATATAATTGCCCATAGTTTTTTCATTTATGTCTATACACAACATAATCAATTTACGAATAATATCCCAGATAGCAAAATGTCTGCATTATGTCAGCATAACGCATTTACGTGTGTTCATAGACGTGTCGGCATATTTGCAACAATTGAGTCGGCATATGAAGTGCACGTGTACAGCATGGTTTGCCTGACACATTGTGACACAACTTGCTGCCACAAGATCGACAAGCCTTGCCGGAATTATGTATGATAGTAATGATCATATGAACATATAGAAATAGTTGAATAAAAGAGCTAACTGCTTTGTTGCCCACTCAGTCATTTGTTTCGTTTTGCGCCGATACTTTCTGCGCGTCCGTCATTATCTTGGTGTGGCCAATGAGACAAATGTTGTATATGTGTAGTGTGCATATATGGTAGTTGTATATGTGGTAGTATGACGGTGTAAAAAAATTTTACACATCAAAGTAATGACGGAATACCACGTGATCGAAATCGAAAAATCAAAGGTTCGAGAGAGAGTGGGCATACTATAGTTATATAGTATTATACTATGATACACCGTTCCGCTCTATGAATTTACACTCTCAGTATAACATCTATGTTGTTGATATGTCGAGTTGATTATCCGTCACTAATACGAATAGTTGTGCCGACATCAATCTTGATAATTTTGATGCAATGTTCATCGTCAAAACTTTAATTTTAGTAACAATTTAAAATAATATTATTAACAGAACAATGTTAATGTATACACGAACAAATTACATTAGTAAAATCATGGTTTTTAAATATAGAAATTTTTATATGCAACACGAGTTGCACTAAATACGGCATTGGAACGGCAAATAAATTCGACAAGGCTTGCCACTTCTATGCTTCAGCACGTTTGGCTATCTGGGATAATAAAACAACCTTCACGATGTAGATTCAAATGCAATTTAATGAGAGAAATATAGCTACCTTGCCATTCACGTCAGTTCCATTAACGAAGACAATTACTCTCTTCATCGTAACAAATATTTAGAATAAATAAATTATAAATAGTCCAAATATATACAGATAATCTTACAGATTATCAGTCTAAACTGCTTCTAACCAATTCCGACCAACTCTGGAGTCGAAGTCAATGGTATACGATGCAATGTTACGTGGTAGCACGCATGCGTTGTATCAACTGAAAAGCCTATGGCACACGATGCGCTTTTACTTACTGACAACTGATTCGTGGATACTTAACGACAATTAAACGCATTTTTAAATAACTCCCATATGCAATCGTTTGCATTTCATATGAAGACATTTAAAGTGCAATTGGAAAGATTTGTGAATATCTCGTTTGTTTGTAATTAATTATTTTTTAACCATGTATTTAGCCGCAATAAATAAATTTAATAAAGTTTTTGTATGGAATCGTTTGTATTTTGTATCAGAGAGAAACCTGAGAGCGGTTACTCCGGCGTTTTAAGCCCGCTGCAGACGATGCTATTTTTCCTGCTGGATTGCTTGCAATCTAATAAATTACTATCGTTGCACCACTCAGCACTCAGGATTCCTAGTAATTTACTAAATCGCAAGCAATCCAGCAGGAAAAATAGCATCGTCTGCAGCGGGCTTTACTTGATATCGTTTTCGCTCGGCTGATTCCAGCGCCTTTCGCCCATTTTCATTTTTGGAACTATTTCGCTACACACATTTTCAAGCACTGCCGACAAAGTCCCCACTTCGTGCGTGTCCGTGCTACGCCCATTTTTCAAGCGGGCAATACAATGCCCAATTTTGGTTGTGTTTCATACTGCATGCATGAAATGTCTATCTATCTACGATTATCTATCAAATTAACAGATTTAATATTTTTAATATACATCAAGTATATCAGCGGCAATTGTACTAAAACCAATTATATAATTTATAAAAATTATTTTCGATTAATTGTGTTATTTAGTAGGACTGGTAATTTTCTTCAAAGGTTTCAACATACGTACTTCGAAACTTTGAATTACTTTGCATTACTACTCTGTTTATATTGACTTGCGTTCATTTCGTTTTGTGGTCAACATACTTTTGAGTTGTAATTAAACTTGTAGATTGTTGAATTCATTGAGAAGGACCACAACTTATATGGTCGAAACGTCGGATTTAAATAAAGAAACCATCTGACAGCCTAAATTGTCGTCTGACAATTCCTTTTATCGTTAATCAACTACTGGCGATTCACATTCTTCGTTACTGACATATAAAGTATATGTATATAATAATTGCAAAATATAAAAATTTACTGACAACCTACATTGCACTCCTTTTGCCAACAAAATTTGTAGCAGATTGTTCTCAATAAACTTGGTTATCTATATATTTTAATATAACTTTGTATTTTCTAGTTATAAATTAAATGATGCCTTTCTTTTATATTTGAATTAAATTTTTATCCGATAATAACAGACCATCTTGTAGAGGCCCAACAATCCCGCCGAATTTT